GGTGCAGGAGGCCAGGGCTGGTGGCTTTGCTGGCAGGAGGTGACTGATGCTGCCGGCAAGAGAGGTGGGATGCCAGCTGCTGCCACCAGATTGGGATAGGAGGGGAACAGCAAGGATCTGGCTTCGTCAGCTGTTGTACAGGCCTACTGCAATTTACATGGGAATTATATGAACTTGTGTAGTCCATTTATAGAAATGATGATTAAGTTTGGAAGCAACCACTTTGAACTATCCGCCAAGAGCAAAACCTACTCCTTTGTGCATTGTCAGCCTTAAGGAACTCAATCTGGAACTATTTTACCAATCTTTTAGATGTCTGAGTTTAATACAGAAATTAGAGAGGGTAGAGTCAGGGCAGAGCTGACCCCAACTTCCAAGCTGTTTGAAGAAGGGAATTGTGAGTTAGCTTTGATCCAACACACATTTGAAATATGTATTCAGTTACGTCTAACACTACCAGGGTACAGCTAAAGAAGGAACCAGCTGCATACCCCATTTACCATACAGCAATCTCAATGTAAATTAAAAATAGCAAAGTACTCTTTAAATTGTGCTTGCTGATCAGGTTCCCTCACCCCCCTCTCACAGCCCACCCCAGCCCTTGACAGTCTAGGGGTAGCTAGAGCACAGCTCATCATAGTCCCTTTACTCCTCCTCTGCAAGCAAGGCAAGATGCTCCAGAGCCTGGATATCCTGCTTGCACTTAAGATTCCCCCTCCCTTCCAAGGAATACTTCTACAGAAATTTGTGATAAACAGGGAAAAAATACATTTAAGAATTATGTAACAGTTTGTGTTTAATAAGAGAACCAGACAATCAGCATGTGGAAATTCCCTCTCTTGACCTTTACAAGGTGAAAGGTGGGGGCACTATGGGGAGTTACAGCAGCAAAGGACAGGGAGTACCAAATGCCATTGTGCTGGCTAAGGATTTATGTAATTAGATACATCTGGAGGAAAGGATTAACTCAATGTCATGATACAGCTTGAGTCAACTTTGCTTAGTTAAACTGCAAGGGTATCTCTGTTTATAAACTACCGTGTTTACAGTACAAACAGTGACTAACTCATCGAGGCAAACACGCATCAGGTACAGTCTTAAACAGCAGCAGAATGTAAAAAAACCTGGCAAAAGACAAGACTGAATGATTTTAGACTTTGTGGGAGTTTGTTTCTATTATCTGGCTTATATACCAAAAGTAATTTCCATTCTATAATAACTTTTAATTAGGAGTCAACTTTAATGTCTAAATTTAAAATGCTGCAGTAAGGAAGCAAAGGGTTGAAAAGAGGTGCTGGCTAACATCCAGTGTTGCAGTTTTACAGTCACTGTGTGTGCAGTGCTTTCAAACTGGATGATATCACTATTTCCTAGCCCTCAAAAGTCTTTGTTCCCACCCTTGTGCTACCTCCTCTTTTTGTCAGTAATTGATGCAGCCACATGGTGATTTGTACCAGGAAACAGACCTAGTATAAAACCAACCTGGAAAAAAAGGGATTGTAATTACAAACCAGCAGTGTCATATACTAGAGAAACTGCCACAGAATTTTCCTGTAAATCTGCCAAGTCAATAATATTCATGATGATCTGCTACATAAGTGCTGGCTGTAAGGACTGAAGTTACCTGGGGCTACTGGAATTCACATATCTAGTTTTCCAGAATGTCAGAATACTCTAAGAATTAAATGAGTAAAAATCATTATTTCAAATTCTGCTTGTTTTTCCTTCTCTTCTCATTCCTCAAGGTACTTGTGCCCTGTTCACACAACCCAGCCCCTTCCCAAGATGCCTAAGGAATGTCTAAATGGAATTACAAATATTAGGATGTTTGAAAAAAAAAAAAAAGTATTTTATTAATGTTTTCTTATTTTAATCATATAACAGTTAGCTAGAGTTGGTGTTCAGCAAAACAGTTAAAGTTCTCAAAGTTCAATCACAAAGTGGAACAGTATTTTTTGTTAAATTTAAATAAAGACCAGAATGCATTTAAATTACCATAGTATTGTCACATATATCTTAGGCCTTCTTCTGTGTTTAACAACATCCTATATTTTGCTATTGTTTCTAAATCACATAAGGGACATGGTTCAAAAAACCTAACAATTTGCATATAGTAACGCTTAAAGTGTTACAAAGGCAGAGCGCAACAATCTCATTTTCAACCATCTCTGCATACTAACTATACACTGGAACAGAACAGCTTCCAACACAATATTCTGACTGGGTCTAACAGCAGCATTAATGAACCTTTGAAAGGTTCTGACTCCCACCTGGAGGCTTAAAATAATTTAGCTTTTTGACAAGTAAAACACGGGTTAGGCAGCTTTTAACACAGGTCCTTGGATATAGTGCTCCTTGATTATTTCTCAAGCCGAACAGAAGAGGTCACTAAAGAGTCACAGCATGCCCCTCTTCTTCAAAATGGGCCAGAGGTGCTATCCTAGCCAGCCAGCTTCACCTCAGCGGCCTTTGATCTTAGCTTTTTCCATCCTTCATGCTCTGCCTCCAACTTTTACATTTATTTCTCTTCTCCATCCTCTCAGTTCTGCACTATGTTTCCCTGTGTACACTGAAGAGTTTAATAAGGCAAGCCATGAATGCCCCAGACCTGCCACTCCACATTTTCCATTCAGCTGCCTCCAAAAGAGTATGTTTTGAGGCAGAGCCTCAAAGGACAGCCTACAGCAGTCAGAGAGGTCAGCATTTGCAGATGGGGGACTACTTGACAGCAACACCAGTAACCAGCAAAGCAACACATGCAGAGATTCCTGTGGCCTTCCCTTCCCTCATCTGGAAGAAAAGTTTGGAGACAGAAGAAAGGATTGCTCTGCTTTGTGGGTTTGGTTTTTTTTTTTTTTTTTTTTTTTTTTCCTTTCTGTTTTTAGCAGTCTTGAAAAAGAGAGTATGAAAAGAAGAATACATGCTTCTGGTCATAAGTATCCAAAATAAGAACAAAGACACAGCCCTTTCCTGACATGTTACAACACAGGGGTTCAGACTCATGAAGAAATCATCTTGCATTTAAACAATGTTTCCATTTGGAAAAAACTGTAAACTCAATAGTTAATACTGTAATCATGTATAAAAACATCTACCATTAAAAAAAAAGTATCTCAATGAATAGAGAGGCTCAATAGAGGAAAAAGTCATTAGTAGTTCATGTGTCTAGAAGAATATTTTTGGGGGGCAATGAAGGAGCTATTTTGTTGCTTAGAGTGCAAATACACACTTCCCTTGCCAAAAAAAGGTACTATCCAGCCAGTGTGAATATCTACAGGTATAAGGCAGGTGTAATAGACGTTCCGTCTCACGTAATGACTCCACACTCTCAAAAACAGGATCCAGATAAACAACACCAGCAGACTAGCTGGCAGAAGCTCCAATGATTCACATTTTCTGTGCATGACAAAATCCATAATAATTAACAGCAACATAGCTTGTAGAACAAGTAAATTTTATCCAAGAGAATCTTCTTCTGGAGGTAAGATGGGGTGAGCCCAAGTTACTGTTCTGTGTGCAGGAAGGAAAGGCAGGTCTTCCTAAAAATCCTCCTAATCTGTACATACTTAGGATTCAAGAGAGATCTGACCTGTATGGAACAATCTAAATGGAAAGTTGATGCCTGCATATAGTCCTTTTGGAGCTCCCTAGCATCACAGATCCCAGAGTCCTTCCAATACAGCAGAAGCTAAGGAGAAACTCAAAGGCAGTTTATGCTGTTTAGCATGCTGATACCTCCTAGTAAAATTTCTGATCAGAAATCAGCAGTAATTACCTGTCAAAACCAGGCTGGCTCTTTGTTTCACTGCCTCCAGCTTTTACAGACCATTCAGGGTCCTGTTCAGAGTTCCCACAGTGGGACAGGCCTGCACTGAGGAAGGACATTTGTTTCTCTTCCACCTCCTTGGCAGCACAGATCTGTCTGTCTTGATCTTAAAACACTGTGCCACTACATGCTGCCTGGGACTCTTCTCAGAAAATGAACACTTCCTCCCTGATCCCATCCAAACAACCTGTAAACCCCCTTTTCTATCTTCATAGTAAGGAAAGTACTCTCTGTGAGCCAGTATCTCATGAAACTTCACTGCTGCTCTCAGACAAACATCTTTCAGCAAGTTTATCTGACCTTACTAGCTCAGCTGCTTTTATCTACATATATGAAACCATATCCTGCTGCTTAAGAATAGTTGAAAATTACTTCTTAGAACAAAAATGTATTTCTTGTAATTACTAGAAGTAAATTACTTCCATTACTATCAAGTTCATTTATAACTTAGTTTTAATTTCAAGAGCATGGAAATTTAAATTCTGGCTCTGGAATACACATGAGCAGCCACTTCATTGCTCTTAAAGTATTGGATTGATAAAAAAAAAAAAAAAACTAAGCCATTTCTTAGTGAAATGCTAAAAGGGAGTACCAAGAATTCTCAAAAATATGTATTGGTAAAAAAGCAGGATTATTCTTTTACAAATCACCAGGTGGAAAGAATTGAAGTCAGTTTGAGCTGCCCTTGTAAGAACAGGACTCAAATGCTCAAGGCAATAGGAAGTGAAATAAAGTTTAAACTTGTACAGGATGTGGTTTGAACTAAGTAAGGGGTTACTTTAAGAAGAACTCTTACCAGCATAATTGTATTAGACTAAATTTCTACATGGTAGATTTACTTGTTCCCCAAAATCCCTGTTACTGTGAAAACACACACTCACACAGTGTGTGTCCTAATAACATTATTATCAATACCTTAGCTGTAACTATGAGCATTGCATACATGAGGAAATTTAGGTATGATTTTTTTATAGCTAATACAGTCAAATATGTAAGAAGAACCATCCTCCCACTGATTATTTTTAAGCTGTGAAGTCCTGATAACTATCTGAATTTCATTGTAATGTGCTACAAAAATGTTTGATCAGTTTTTCAAGAGGATAAGTAATAATGAAGCACTCTTTTTACAATCAGCATACACAAAACTCTTAATGAATATTTGATCAGCACTTACATTTTGACATTGCATCTTTCTGGGGTTTGTGTGGGAAACATTGAGTCCATCAATAACAATATTAAACGGAAGTCGTTTTTCCACAAATGTTTGAAAGGCTTCAAATTCCTGGAATAAACAAACAAACACAGGGGAATAATATATTGAGTTTAACAGAAAGAGATTTCATTAAAAAACAAGGAAAAAAGCCTAAATCTCTCACTTTTCCTTAGCTGGCTACACTTCACATTTTTATCTTCATATTTGCTAAAGCAACCACACCAAAAAAAAAGGAAAAAAAAAAAAAATCTTAAAAAGCTGTGTTACAGTGGAAACTTCCAATATAATTTTAAACTACATTACAACTGAAAAGAAAAACTTTAGTCATCCAGATTTTCAAAATTATAATCCAAACTGTACACTTTTATAGATACATGCTACAGTCATTATTATGCAACAGCTTCAAAACAAAGCAATTTTACAAACCAGTACACTATGACACTATTACCAATTCTTAACATTTCCAATTGTAAAATAAGCATCTTTCTTAGTTTCTCTGTAAGAATTTTGAAATCTCTGAATGCAAATCAATATTTAAATAAGCATTCATTTAGAAACACAGCACTCTATTTGTGAGAAATACACAGCTTTAAGGCTAGCAAAACAATGAACTTTCTTACTAGTTCGGAAACATAATGCAGTGATTGAGCAAACCAACAGCATCCATCCAGTTTTTCCAATGGAAGGAAACCCACAACTGCTTTAGGCTTGAGACCCCATAGGAGAGGAACAGAACACAAAGCTATAATAAAATCTTCAGGAATTTCTCCCTCAATTTTTGAGGAAAGATTTAGTGTTTTTAGCAGACACTTGGGATTTCTACTTCCTGCTCCTGATTGTTTTTAATAGCCATCCTGGTGGGCAGTGACCTGGTTTCATAAATGACCTTGCTAGTAACAAGTAACACTTAGTTACCAGTAATGGAGGTTTCACAGTCCACAGCTATAAATGAACTTTCATAGGAACCCAAAACAATTGCAGATTTCATGCCTTCTGCTCAAAATTCAAAAAGCACTTTTATAATCTTGCCTTCTCCCATGTAGCCATATGGCAACATACAAGTTTTAATAAAAAGTATCTCCCTCAGCACCCAAACAAAAACCTATACAGCATACACAATTCCTCCTCAGAGAAAGGAATGAAAGAATTTATTTGTCCAGAAAATACATTGCTGTCAGGCAGTAACAAATGATCACCAACTTCAAATTTAGTCAGAATGCTTATGACAAATTATACTAGGAAAAGGGTTACTTGTATTAAGAGTACAAACCAACCAAGTGAGATGAGGATGCCCCACTTGGATGTTAAAATTTCAGGCATAATTTCCAAGTGAACAGAGGCATACTGATCAAAAGCACACTGATGAGACCGCAGACAACACGGGGCTCAGTCTAGCACCACCAGAATCAATTGCCTTTTATGTGATCTTTCATTTCTCCACGGCTTCAATAAATATTATTACCAAGAAAGTATAAAAAGCTGGGCAAAAAAAATATCACCTCAAACAAAAAGAAATTGTTGGCACTTGTGAAGTGTTTCCCCGTGCCCCCCAGGCCCAATCTCAATGTATTTGATATAGATGAATAAATATTCTCATTGCCATCTGACAGGGACACCAAGACACAGAAAAGAAGTCACTAGCAAAGGCGGTGGAAGGGAGGGAGAGGAGAAACAAATGCAAAACTGAACAACAGGGATTCCTGACTTCTGGGCTTATGCCATCCAGTAGACTTCCCCATAGTTCAAAATCAGAGGAGTCATCACGGTAATACTGGACGGCTGTCTGAAATGTGGGAAAGATAAAAAGAAGGAAAACACAGACAGACCAAATGAAGGTAAAATAGGAGAGCTCTGAGACAAAGATGAGTGAAAATGGAAAAGACAAAAGAAAGTGGAAGCAGATGAAAAACACATGGTAAACATTCCAATAAAGCGTTATTTTCCTAATGCCAACAAACACCAATATTATTTGAAGTAACATGGTTACAGTCAAGTAGACATTTTTTAATGAAGTATAGTGTACATGTAATCTTGTCTTTAAGGGCTCAGTTCAATACAAAACACTTCATGGATAATTTTTAAAGTGGTATTTTATTTCAAGTGACAATAGTTATAGAGCAGATCCTGAAGAGGCGGGTTTTCCTGGATGGGCAGAGCTGAGTGCTTTGTGGAAGGAACACTACAGCGTGAGTTGGGAGAGCTGCAGAGGAGTTCGGGGGGTCAGCGCTTCCCTCTGCCCACTCTCTGCTTGTCTCCCTCTCCTTCCCCAGCAGGGCAGAGGGACCAGGTGCTGCCAGAAGGGTCCTGCTGAGAGGCACCAGGATAGGCTCAGCACCTCTCAGAAGCACCTCCTGGCTCTCAGCGGTTTACTTTTGGAGCTGGGGAGATGCTGCAGCCTTTTCAGTGTCTTTTGCTTAGCCACCCCACCTTTCCCTGCCATCTCCTCCTGCCTATGTCTCCTACTCTGTTCTCAACAGATGCCTGACAGTGTGCCCCTGCAGCCTCCCAGATCTGCTGAATTGTTTTGCCTCACTACTTGTGCAATACAGGGAGAGAAGGCTTGCTGGCACAGGAGACGCTTATCCACACAGGGAGATGAGGAGTTAATACCAGAGTAAGTGCAGAAGACAAATGGCCAAGTTTAATTTATGTCACCAAATACAGAAGACTCCAGTGTAAAGCCTTAGACAGATTAAAAATCCCCAAGGATTGGTTCATTTTCTTCTCACCATCCATATTTCCCCAGCAACACACAAGAGTGCTTCTTTCATTTTCCAGAATAAAAAAAAATACACAAAGAATGACAGAGGAGATCCAGGTCTGGTTCCCAAGAAACAGTTTTTGAGTCACCATAGTCCCCATCTTCTCCGGATAAAGGGAAGGAAAAGGCCAAAGCCTGGGAATAAACAGCAGGCTAGGTCATCCAGACACAGTACAAAGAGTTATTCAAACACACACAGCCTCACACTATAAAAGTCTATTGGGTCTGGCTAAGATGGAGTTGATTTTCCCCATAGTAGCCCTCACAGTGCTGTGCTTTGTACTGGTAGCTAGAAAGGTGTTGATAACACACCAGTGTTTTGGCTACTGTTGAGCAGTGCTCTCACAGTGACAAGGGCATCTCTCCAACACTCCCCTCTCCCCAGTGGGCTGGGGGTGGGCGAGATCTTGGAAGGGGACATAGCCAGGACAGCTGACCCAAACTGACCAAAGGGATATTCCATACCTTCCGACATCAGCTCAGCAATAGAAGCCAAGAGAAAGGGAGAGGGGGGCATTCGTTATTACAACATTTGTCTTCTGGAGCAACCACTACACGTACTGATGCCCTTCTTCCTGGAAGCAGTTGGACATCACCTGATGATGGGAAGTAAAGAAGTCTTTTGTTTACCTTTGCTTCTGTGCATGGCCTTTGCTTTTGCTTTATTAAACTACCTTTATCTTGACCCACGAGTTTTTTCCATCTTATTTTCCCTCTCCCTACTGGCCCTGTCCTGCTGAGGAGGGGAGTGATAGAGAGTCTTAGTGGGCACCTGGCGTCCAGCCAAGGTCAACCCATCACAAAGAGAGAAAGCATACAATTCGAAGGATGATGATTTTTCAAAGATTAGTATTTGTCTGGATTTTATGCAGATCTTACAGCCACGGTAATAGAGATAATTCACCCACAAATTCTCTAAAGATATTTCCCTCACTAGCCAACTGTAAGAAGAAACTGGAGATCATCTTTATAAGCAGTAAATGAAGCAGAGCACAGCTGCAGCTAGGGTACAGCTGATCAACACAAGCTAAACACAGTCATCATCAATGCAGTACAACAATGTCATGAAGGCTGGTTTAGGCAAAAAGAAGCAAGCTGTTCAGATAGGCTTCCCCTTCCAAACAGAGGATGCAACATATAATCTACAAACACTCCTGCGCACGCTGCAGGAATATTTACATGGAAACGTCCTGCTGAACGTGACAAGGGGCACTTCTGATGAATCCCTTCAGCATGTCAACAAGTAGCAAAACATCTCACATCTCTCTCTCTCCCCTCAGGTAAGAGGGCCAAAGCAAACACTGCAAACCTTACACTGGTTTCTAACTTGTTCTGACCCGGTTCATCTCACAGTTTCCAAGGGAAAGTCCATTCCCCCAGGATCTGAAATGCTACTCAAATCCACTTCAACAGAGTTGGAAACTGAAGGGACAAAACTTTAAAAACACATTCAGCATTGCTTATTGACATGACCCTCTTAACACTCAGGAGCCACAGAAAAGTGCTGCAATGCAGCAAGGCTGTTACCCCACTGCAAGACTTCCCACAGCAGCCAATGCACCGCGTGAACACATCTCCCCACAGCAGGAACATGTGCAGTGCAGCAGGGTGCTCCAGTGATATCCTGTTTCACACCATGTACAAAAGAAAAGGGAATTTTAAAAAACCCACCTGATTTCATTCATTGCCTCACTGGGAAAATAGGGGAATGCCAACTATACAACTGCTAGAAATGATTCACTGCACCTTCTACTAAGAAAACTTATCTTTGCAAATAGACACCACACTGACTAAATCCATTTGGAGCATAACAAACCCATGATGGAATTTACCTTGAGTGAAGAATTAAAGAAACTTAAAATAATTTTTTGTTTAACCCTTAGCATATGGGTGGCTCCAGTCTATTCATATCTTGACAAAATCACAAAACAGTATCGCATTTTTTTGGTACCCCACATCAGCTGGATTACTCATGTGCTATTTCATTTTATACTGGTATGTACTGATGCTGCCACAGAAAGAGGTGTTTCTACCATCTCCCTTCCCTCAGCCATTCACCCCTAGCCTTGCCCCCTCCTCTACCTATGCAGACACATTTGTTGGCACAAGGAGAAAGACTGAAATGGATGAAGAACTGAACCACTTACACAGCCAATAATATCTGAAATAGCAGTAGTAATAAAACTGAAAATAGGACTTTCCTGTAAGAGTATTAATACTATTTTAACTTCCATAAATACTTTTATAAACATGAATGTATGTTTTTCTTACAATACCAGTGCATACACAGACTACAAGCCTTCAAAGC